GCAACCTTCCGGAAGGAAACGTGTGCCCGGCGTGCGGCAGACCATAAACGTTACACGCGAGTCTTCGGCGGCGCACGAAAACTGGGTGCGGCTACCCAGTCTCCCCCTTTGATGCGGCTCTGCTTGACCTGCTTCGAGGAAAGAGGGTTGTATTCTGCGCACATGTTTCGAGGATAATAATCGGTTTGTCGGGCTTGAAGGTAGGTGCGGAAGATCACGGTTCAGGTGTAGAACCTGAAGCCTACTTCACTGTAACAAAACAGACGAATGTACTCGACAAGGCCTTATTGCTCGACAGGGAAAAATCGTGTGCCCATGTCCATATAGTCGGCGGATATACAGCATTTCGCAAGGGTTTCAAATTGAAGCAGACACGCTGAGTACCCGAATCGTCCACGGGTCCAGTACTGTTGTGGATTCTAACCTAGCTGTAATTGTCTAATCAAGGGATAAACACGGTAGATCTTCGGGTCATTCATCCTCAGGTGGGCTCGCAATTTTCAGGCACTGCCGTACACAAGCATTACGAACGGACATACCAGCTTACCTGCACGAACCACTGCATTGAGATGCGCCCCGTAGGCTCTGACCCAGCTTCACAGGGGCTCGACACAAAGCAATAGGCTTAATAGAATCCTACAGTCTACTTGGAGTCCAAAAAACAACATGTCCTAAACAGTGCAATCAGATCTCTGAGATGCCGGCCAAGATCGCGCAGGCCTCAGAAAAGCGAAAGCGCGTTGCTTTGGGTTCTGTATGTCGTGTCGGCACTACTGCACTTGTGCTGTGCGCTTGTTCAGGACACATGACCTTGCTGTCGGTGTCGTACATATATACCTATACTTATGATTACCGGGGCTTCAACCCCAAACGATGCAAGCAAACGCCCGACAAAAAGCAAATCAAGCCAAACCCAAGAGCGAGCCTAGAGACCGAGACCCCACCTGTCTAAACCCCGAAACGTAAACATACGTAAACATAGATAAGCTTACACCCAAAGCCTAAACCCGAGCCGTAAGCATTTCAGAGCGCCCACGCACACCGGGACCAATGCCCCAATGAAGCCAAGAAGCGCAGTTCTGCAAAACGAGGACAGATAACAACGCCGCTTTGGACGCCTGAAGTTTTGCGGAGATTGAGCCTAGATATATGAGCTGAATACGTGGTAACAATATCCATTTTATGAGGGAGAGGTCTTGGGACCGGACAATGCGGCGATGAAGTTTGTCAGGGTGACTCTTTAAAGGCTGGACGAGTGACTTGAAAAGGGCTTGGATTTCGAGCCCGACTACTTTCCATGCCTCGAAGTTAACGCATGTTTCGGCCCGAAGCTGGGAGACACATGGCATGAACAGACACTGCCCTTAGGAACATACGGACATGCTGTGGGAACCTCCGCAAAGGATGCCGTGGATGCGGCCTTCAATATATATCTGATCTAGAGAGCTCGAAGCACGTGACGCTCGAAATCAACCAGTTGTCAGTTTCAACCGAGAGCGACAATGCCCGACAACAATTACAGAATTGACGCCCGAATCAAGCCTGACGCCCGCTACTTGCTTCACTGACCGAGCTTTGGACAGCTCCGACACCAACATCGCCGCTCTTGACGGACATGATGCTGCAGCCTTTGACAAAGGGCATCAAGTTCTTACAGCGGTTTTAGGGGTTGGAGGGCTCTTGGTTGCAGCAGTGGAGCAGACTGTTCGGTGGGAAGAAGACACCAAAGGCTTGCCAACTTAAGCCACACAGAGTCTATACACCTAGGACCCGAGATCTTGGAAGCATATAACATACAGGTGCTTCTACGTTGTTCAGGGAGCCAGCTGGGCGTCCGAGTAGCACCTCGGGCATGCAGGCACGACTCTCCCCCACAACATACACTTGCTAAAGCGAACCGTGCATCTGAGAGTCTTCTGCAATCTTTGTAGACTGGAAGGACACCAATGCGGATAAATTGAGCCCTTTGTCCATGAAATGGGTTCCCTTCATCCCTGGCTACAGATCAACAGCCACCTTGCGGCAGCCGGATTTTCACATGCAGCAGCAGATATCTAATTAATCTAACTCGTGGGAGAAGTAGGCTTGAGGGCTCAAGGGGCGAACCGTGCAGGAATCATCGTTCAGCATGTCAGGGACTCCTGCTGCAACAAAGCTATGAACTTTCAGCGTTACAGTGACCAGGTGTGCATGAGTTCACCATACGAATGAATAAGTCTGAACGGCTTGGACGGTCCATGTGTTTCTGCTCCATGCGAGCAATCACAGAAGCTTGCAGCTGCGAAGCTGAGCCAATACGCAAGGCCACAATCAGGACATATCACGACAAGTCATCACCAAATAATACAAACATGCAATACAGGCTATGTGAATACATGTAGGTGCACACCGAAGGCCCTCGAGCACGTGGATAACCCGACATAGAAACATGTATTGCCTTCTTGGGAGCTGAGAGTCTCGAAGATCGAGGCTTAAGGGCTCAAGAGCTCCAAGACTTTAGGGTTTAGGGTTTAGGGTTCAGGGTTTAGGGTTTAGGGTTCAGGGTTTAAGGTTCAGGGTTCAGGGTTCAGGCTTTAGGGTTCAGGGTTTAGGCTTCAGGACTCTGTTGCGCCATCTCTTAATTCTACTGTTCGGGCGGTGCTCCCACGACGACTCTGCTCCAATCAAAAGCCCAGCGCCGAAGAGACACAAAAGCGGTGAGGGGATCGATGACGACTTGCAGATCACTGCGTTGAGCTACGAGTCGGATAGACCGAGATTGCTATTGAAAAACTGTTGGACAAGAACTTTGATCCCAAGCCCCACTTTCTCCAGCAGGTTCATGTGGACTCAACGCTTTCAATGCATCCCAGGGTGTAGAATTCGAAGTGGATTTTTTCGCATGCAGATACAGAGAAGAATGTTGCAGAATTGCAGAGACCATGAGCCATGTGGAGGAGCTTGAACTAGACACGTGGAAACGAAACCCAAACTGTGGAATACATGTCACAACTCCCAACCGACACCTTCTAAAGATTCTGTTTACAAGAGATGAGCAAAAACAAACGAAACCGACGTGTATGTGTGTGCCCCATGGTTGCATTTCATCTCCTCCGGCAGCTCTCGAAACTCCACTGCCACTGGGTGATGTGGTGCAAGATCTGTTGTTTCGCAGCATTTTCGCCAACTCGTCCGAGAATTTTGCCAACAGAACGAGAACGTCGTGAAGACCCCCTTGCGACATTTGCAGTTCTTGCGTCATACAGCCTAAGACCTCAAGACGAGAGTTTTATCTGAAGACCATGGTATCGAAATCTCAAAATTATCGGGTAAACGCTCCAATCTGCGTCTTCGGCGATGGCAATCCGCGTCCTGAAAAAACAGAACCTGGTTCCAGAAATCCCAAATCTTACCTTTGGTTAGTAGGGAATGGAAGAATGGTAGTAATAGTAGTTATAAGTAAAATATACCCCATCAGCTTTGGAGCTGATGCCCCGAAAGATCAATCCAAAAGCGGTCCATCGCAAACAAAAGCTCTCCGGACTCCAAGGCTCAAAGCCTAACCCCGAACCTCAACCCCGCACATCCATAGCTTGCTCAAGGCGTTCCCTTCGAAGTAGTCCCGCACTTTTGCTAGATTTCGCGCAACATAGCTTGGACTCAAGCGGCGATCGCCTTGGCGAGGTGCGGCTTTCAGCATTTCTATCCGGGTTCAGGGCATGTTACATTTTGTTGTCAACGGCCTTGTTCTGCAGGTATGAAGTTCTACGACAAGGAGGTTCAGGATCTTGGTTCTCTATGCTGTAGAGCTCTGGAAACGGTTGGACGCTTCACAAACTTGCGTGCCGAATCTGCGTAATGTCTCTATGCCTACAATAATAAGATCTTATGAGACTAGTATAGTGTATTGCATTATCGTCTATTCCATTCTGTTCTATTCTGTTGTGTATATACATACATATATATATATATATATATATATGTGCTTGTGTGTACGTATGTATATGCATACGTATATGCATATGTATATGTGTAATTTATGCACATGCACATGCATAAGTAGACGTATGCGCACAAGCATAGGTATAGGTGTATGTATGATTGTGCATGTGCATGTGTGTATGTATGTATGTATGCATGCGCATATACAGGCCGCGGAGCTCAAGCATTATGAGGTTCAAGAGTGTGGGGATAGTGGAACAAGCTGGCATTGGGACTTCAGAAACCTGATAGGGCATCGCTATCAGACGGCGACTGCTCCGCTTGGGATCATGGTAACTAAATGCAACTGTTACAAGCAACAGTGCCGACTACACTGTTTGAAGGCATTCTGGGTGATGATTTGCTTGATGACCTGTGATTCGCCCAAAAGTTCCGACGCTCCCGCCATAGTGAAACAGTCTGCGGCCAGATGTGCTTCTGCTCTCTGCTTCTGTGGCCATTTGCAGCTTCTTGCACAGCCTGAATGGCTAGCGAGACTCGCCTGCCAGGATGTATATATCCTTCGAAAAGCATGATATGCGTGCGACGTCCGTGTGCCAAAGGCGGTGTGTGACAGTGGGCTGGTGCAAGCTTTCTCAGTAGATCGAATAAGCCTCATAAGTCAGCGAGACAGCTGTGTCGCTTGTCGCGACCGTCCTTGCACTACCACACCCTGTGACTGTACATATGTGCACGTCATGCGTGTGTCTGCAGGGCAAAATGCTCTCGCACTGGCAGCTTTTGGACCATTTTGGCCCTTCTCGAGGAGGAGAAGTCTGGCACTGTACATGGGTGAACACACATCCCTTCAGGCCCGTGGACTTACAGCCAGGTCCTGTAGCCGTGAATCAGCGTGTCTCCAATTGCGACAGTCCGGTGAAACGACGCTATACAGGGTATTCGACAATTGAAACAGTACTCGCAGGTCATGACAAACATGCACTGAGTGCGGCTTCAGGAAACTCTTAGCCAAGATCCGAGTTCGTAGAACATGGCTCCGTTCCTTGCATCACGATAAAAAGGCTTCGTTCTCGTGCAGCTTAAAGGACACGCCATATGAAGTCCCTCCAGCGGAGAGCACTCTGTTGCATCGTCTCGAGATAACTGTACCAATGCCGCTCCCCTGCTGTTTCGAGCAGGGCACCCATGTAGTCTCCAGTGTTGAGCAAGCGGATAGCCACAGTCAAAAAGAATGACGCTGCGACCTCGCAAACCAGCGTCATGAACAAATAGTATCTGAATGCTGAGAAACACACCTTTGTGCTTTCGAAGACAGAACGCTCATAGTGATATCTGGACCAGCCCCATTTTCCCAGCCCGGGCACCAGGGAACCAATGAATTGCATGTGACTGAAATTTTCCTCTGATTCCTCCAGTGGCATGACATATGTCTCCTCTATTTCTTTGTATTCTGGGTCCGGGTGTGGGTTTCCCTTTGCAAAAGTGACGATCTTGATCACCATCACCACAAGGACTAGGAAAAGAGCCGCAATCGGGAAAGCCACCCAAGCATAAATCGCTAGCATTGGCAAAACCGCGCACCCTGCCATGGCCATACACACGTAAACATATGGCGTTGAAAGCACAAACCAAGCGTGGAAGATGGGGCCATTGGCCTCAATGAGAAGGTCCCGTGCTTCTGATCTATTCTGCTCAAGCCATGATTGATCTCTGAACACCTCACGATCATGCCCCCGGATGAAGTTGAGGTTGCACAATGTGAGCGCAAGTAACGCATAGTTCTTGACTGCATCATCCACATTGCGGCCTGTCGCCACATGAAGGAACAACGCCTGCACGATGTTCAACGCAGCGACTGCTTTCTTGGGCTCCAATTTGAATTCTTGCTCCGCAAACTCCACAGTCTTGGAAACGTCAACATATGCATTGTACACAAACGACACCAGCAGGTACAGCTGAAATGCTGTGCGGGCGAGCTGCACTGTCCAGTGCCTCTCTTTCTTGCGCATAGAAGGCGGGCCCAAGATGAACAACTCAACTGTGCTGCCAACCACACAGCCAAGTGACATGAAGTAGTATGGAGGCAAAGCATTCACACCTGCGACTGCTGCCGTGCTTACCATTCTCGATTGAGAATTACTGTTGGTCACTTTCACAAGCGCCAGGACACCAGCGACAGACACCATCATCGCCCAAAGCTGAAGGAACTTTAATCTATTGGTGGCATACTGTTGCTCAGTTTTCATCATGTTGACTTCCTGCCTGAGCTCCGTCAACCTTTGGTTGAGTGCTTCCACATCGCTACACAGCTCTAGACCAGAGGAGGAAGTCATGGTCTCCCCAAGCCTTGCTGCTCGCTCCGACATGGTGGATGGCACTGTCTGCGCCTCAACCTTTTAGTTGCGACTTTCGAAGTGTCTGGCGAAGGTCTTAAGCCCATGCCTGCATCAGCTTGTGCTCCTGGAATGCTACGTGGAAACCGCCTGAACTCTGCCTGTAGCACCCTTCGTACTATGGTTACCCAGGCTTCAAAAGGGCACCTCGAGAGCAAAATCAATCCAAGCCCACCACCCCATCTGCGTAAATCCGCACAGCAGCCCAGAACCAAAGCCTAAACCCTGAGCCCTGAGCCGCAAACCGTGCAACCAAGAAGCACGGGTCTGCACGACGAGGACACACAGCAACGGTGCTTGGGACACCTGAAGCTGTCCGGAGATTTGGCAATGATGTATAAGGGCGAGAATGTATGAGCCTGAACAGTTATAACATAATGATCATAATCTCTTTTTAGTCCTATGTGTGTGTGTATATATATATATATATTTATGGTCAGTCGAGCGAGGTCTTGGGGACGCGAGATTTCGGGGATGAAGTTTATCCGGGTGATTCTTCAGAGGTTGGGCGTGGGCAGGCCGATACTGTGACTGACTTGGAATGGCTCGGATTTTGAACAAATGCAACTGAGTTGAAGAGTCCGAATTTCGAGAACACCATACTTAGTCACCCATCTGCCCATGCAGGATGCAGCGACAATCGAAATGTACTAAGTTGATATTCAACCGAAACCCAACAACTACAGAAACTACAGGCGCAACCTAACGAAGCATATTTGAGCACACCCAACCAATCTCCTCAAATGGTGGTGAAACCGAACGACAGATGCTTGCTTCATTGAGGTCTGGACTGCCCCAACAGCAACATCGCCGCTCTTGACGGACATGACGTTGCAGCCTGTGCTACAGGGGCATCATGTCTGAAGACAGTCACTTCAGGGCTTGAAGTCTGATGCTCAAGGTTTAGAAGTCCTGGTTCCAGCTTTCCTGCTGAGTAGTTCAAGGCTGAATTGGAATAAGAAACCGCCATGGCTCTCTCCCAACCCAGCTTTGGGCCATCTGCACCCTGTGTACCAAGGGCTTGAGAGCCTGCAAACACATATTACGACGCCCTAGGGGGAAGTGCTGGCACGAGCCTCCCACCAGACAATTCCTCAAGCAGAACGATAATCTGAGGATTCTCTGAAGACTGCATCCCTGGCTGAGGATCCGGAGTGGCCTTGTGGCAGCCGGGTGTTTGCATGCAACAGCAGATGACTAACTAATCGGTTAATATCCACATGGAGGTTGTTGTTCTTGCGCTTGCTAGTGTGGTTGCCAGGGCTACGGACCTTGTTGCTGCATCTTGCGATCTATGAAATATCGTTCGGGATATCAGGGACTTCGCTACCAAGACTCGAGAATTAGAATCCAGGGGCATTCCCCCTGCGATTCACCTCACGAGTCTGAGCGGCTCTGACGGTGCATCTGTTTGGTGTTCCGCGCGGGCATAACCAAAGAAGCTTGCAGCTTCTAAGCTGAGCCATTGGGCGAAGGCACAGGCAGGTGTAAATGCATGACATGTGATCTTCGCTCAGGGACAAACATGAAGGACTCCACCGATGATACTTTCCCAATGCTTGGACATTTTGCACCCCTCCCGGTCCTACGATGCCAGTGCGATCATGCTCACTCTTCTGCACCTTCACCTCGGGCAGCCCGACAGTGCCTACTGACTCGTACAAGCAATCTATACCATTGTCTGAGCAGAATGATCGTAGTCAGGAGCAAGGCAGTGTGAGACAGGGACTCGTATCTTCAAACCAAACCCTAAACCCTAAACCCTAACTATACCCTGAGCCCTTTAAACACTAAACCCTAAACTTCTTCTTTCTGCGATCTTTGGAAGATCCCTTCTCAATCGAAATCATAGCCCAAAAAGCCCTGCGAAGTCCAGACCCGACCCCGAAAACCCCAAACCAGAGGCCCAGAATGCAATACCCAGTGCCAAAGCCCTAAATCTCGAAAACCTTTCAAGCTAAATCCGCAAGAACAGCTGCTTTTGTTTCTCGATTTCGCCCAACAAAGCTTGGACTTCCGATGCGGCCTCATCGAACGCACGTCCTAGGCATAAGTTGCGGGCAGGTGTAGCTCAATCGAGGAAGCTCTTTGGGCTAGAACAGATTCTGGAGGTGCGACACATGTTACAGGTTTTGGTGGCAGCTTTAACCATTTCGGGATCAATGACGGAAGCGCTGAAAGGGACTTGAGCCGATGAGGACACTTTTGGCTTCAAGTCCTTGTCCCTTGAACTTCGGATGCCTCTGAACATCTACTTGGACCATGAAAGCATGTCAGAGGAAGGCTTTGCAGACTTGCTTAAAGATCGCTCCCCTGGACAAGCCCTGACCTAGATACCTCAAGATTCTGGTTGCCACTGTAAACTCGTCGGCAGCTGCCTGCAGATCCTCAGGCATCTGCGGAACTCGCATGCTGCGGGGATGTATTCTTCGAAGGGAACGACCTGCATGCATGAAGACAGTGGGCAGATGCCCCAGACCAAGAAGCTGATACTTTGTAAGCGGCTCCGTGCAGGCCATAGTAGCAAATCTCTGCATACCTCCAGCTTTAGCTCCAAACCTGGAGACCCATGCTGACGGGCCTAGGTATTGAAACCGTGAGCCTTGAACCAGAAACTGGGATCTTGCTAAGGGATTTAGTCAATAAGACCCCTGCACAAGAACTGACAAGAACCCTACAAAATCCGTTCAAACCGCTTTGGAAAAATGCCGCCGGCCTTGACGCCCGTGCCACTCGTCACGATGCGAGCCTTTACCTCCAACACAGTTCAAGAGCCGAACCGCAGTGGGTCCTGTGCCTACGGTAGTGCTGAGCCGGGTTGTGACTCGAAGATGATCTTGGCTCAAGGATGGTTCATATGGCTTCATCTTATTCAACTTCGTGCGGTCGATATGACGTAGCACAGCACCCACTTTAAACCTGGATGAATCCGTAAATGCTCACAAAACCTCTCGGCACTGACTCAGGGCAGCCCTTGAGAAACTCGAGCCGTTTGAGCGCTTCCGGTTTGGGTCCACGGCAAGAAACAGCAGCCAGGGTCGAAGGGATGTGAATCATGATGTCTCGGAAAACCAGCAGAGTGAGAGCCCGATGTTGCCGCCAACCGAAAGTGCAGGAGCTCGCTTTGCCAGCACGACGCTTTCTCATCTGCCGGCACAGAAAAAGTGGTCTAGGAGTGCTCGCGCGCCATGAAAACCTACAAACTAGACACCCTGAAATCTAAAACAGAACTGTTGCCAGAAGCGTGCACCCTCTGCATATCAACTTGTGAAGAATGGGTTCCAAGGCCGCATGCGGATCCGGTTCGTTGTATGGCCCACATACTTGAATACACCCTCCTCTGCCCAGGTGGCTTGCTTTTGCAATGCCGAGCCCCCCATCGTCTCTGAAGAAATGCAAACCTCGAGGACTGAGAACTACGAGCCACAGCTCGTCGAAATTCCGAACGTCTCCCTGTAACACGGAGGTCGACCTTATTCCTGTGAAGCTGCAGGTCCACACGCACCTCTGTTCCTTGAACAGGAGTGCGCCATGCTTGACTTCAATGCGGGTGCCATTCCTGAGCCAATCCGCACTAGCCGCGTGCAGGCCGCGCAAGCTGCCGCCAGCTCCGGCTTTTTCAGCTGCACTTCTGAGGAAGAAAGCTTCCGGGTGCATTCGCTTATCGAGTTCAAACGCGACTGCTTCTATTTGCAAACCCCGACTGGAAGGGTTGGCAAGCTGAAGCGGAGACTCCTTGTAAAACTTGTCCGCCAATTCCTTTGACCGTGACCTCAATGCATGCGACAGGGCTGCTGAAATCTCAGGGCCGTGAACCTGCAGCACTGCTACTCGTCGGCAATTGCTGTCAGCCTTGAACAGTTGTTTTGCAAGGGCAACCATGGCATCCCTCCAATTCGTCTGATGCTTGCCTCCGCCGACATTGACTCTCCAACCAAATTCGGAAGTTCGTCGCCCAGCCCGAGACATGCATGTGTGGAGATCATGCTGTAGGACCAAAACGTTGCTCGGCGTAAACAAAGCCAGGTACAAGTCATCAAAGTAATTCTGTTCTAGCTTGATTCCGGAAAACCGAGCCGTCCACCGTACTTCGCTCTGACACCAGCAAAGCTGTGCGCTCTTGCATTCGACTCGCCTGCCGCCTATGCTGAAGTCATACTTGGCTTGATCTGGCCGTAGACGTGCTCCCCGAATGCTGATGCCTGGAGTAGGACCTTTCACTTGCATGTCCGAGTGCTTTTGAGACAGCACTTGTCGAACTGCATTCTGAAGAACGTGACCTCGACGGTTGGGGGAAAGTTGCGCCAAAGGGTTTCCTGCGTAAGCCCGCGATGTCTCCCCTACATCCTCCAAAATCTCCCTGAATTCTCGAGCTGGGACGACGAGATTCCGGGCACCAGCAAGGCCAAGAGATGGGTCAGCGACAGGCCAAGCGGTGCGGAACGGACTTGGCCTGTCTCCCACCTTGATGGAGCACAGCAAACGTCCAAGCATATCGCAGATTGTCTGCTTCACCCGATCTCAGGGGCATGGTATCGGCCTGCAACAGTCGCAGTGCACAGCCGCGCCCCTTAAGCCCCAAACCATGTAAAATCGGAACATCATCAACAATTAGGCGCATTTGTTGATGAGGCGTTCAGGGGTATACTTAGCCAGGCTGAAGCGACATGCCGGTCTGGCGAAGGCGGTCCGCCATTGCCCGCTTGTACTCGTAAACGCATTCATGCGTGCTACGCGACAGCATAGCATGTACTCAATGTGGCGTGCTGTGGGTGCCTCCGGACCTGATATCCTCGAACTCGGAGAACAAACTCCGGAGATTTAGCAGACTAGCAGCAAACACATCGCGCCTTGGCATCCGGGTAGATGCGCTCTACCCTCAGGCCGCACGTCGCCTGGCAACCAGAATGACAGAACCATGGAGCCAACTCTTTAATCCAAGCCTGAGCGAGGTTGACGAACGAAGCAGATCTTTATCACACTCTTGTCCAGGCGAGTTGTTAGCATCTACTCCACAGGTTTGTCTTGCGAGTCGCTTCGCCAACTAGCAACTAACTTGTGAAAAACGAGCCCAGCTCGGAAAGAATGTGAGAAATGCTGACAAACACTTGAAAGGTCACTATTCAACTTCAGTTGCTCCCGTTTGATACTTCATCTAGACGGCACATGCATCCTAGCAGCCATGCTCAGTAGTCTCAGCATCTCGGTGTTTCACGTGCCTAAGTTATCTTTGACATTATCTATCGCAGGAGGAAGACAGCGAAGAAAAACGGTTAATTTGTCAAAGAAGGGGTCCAAAGACAAAACTACTTTAAACTCAAGGTCGTCCTGAGCCCAAAGCCTGTGAGCAATAAGCCACAGATATCGCACATGCTGCCTTCAAGACTCAAATCCTTGACGCTCGACCTGTTTAAAGCAAAGACCCAACACACCCCTCGAAATCTGCAATTTTAGTCTGAGCTCTGTGTACCCATAAGCTAGCGTTGCCCTCAACCTGCGACCCTCTGGAGCCGAAGTTCGCCTCGTCGCAGTTAGCCGCAACCAGCTGCCAATGCGGCTCCCACATGGCCTGCGGTTTAAAATATCGGCTTGGGGTTTGGGGATGCGCAGATGATAAGAAATAGACCAAGATGGCACAATGCTTCGCATGCCTTTTGAATGCAGTGGGCTGTGAAACTCCAAGGTGCATTGCCTATCCTGCTGCGAACCTTCTGATCCTTTAGAGCAACAATGTGCCAAAACGTCCCACACTCAAGCTGGAGTGCTGGGCCATCGCAATTTCACACCTGAACCTCTGGCCTGAAACCCAAACATCGAAAGCCCAACGTTCCGAATCAACGGCTCCATTCCTGAACCCTGTGGACCTCGTGCTTGTCAATGGTGCGGTGGAGGAAGAAAGGAATCCCAGCAGGAGAGTGCTGGACCATGGTGTGGCCTTATGTCTTGGGTCTTGGGCCCTCAGGGAGAATAATGTAGGGGCCTTAAATACAATAGGGTTTTGGGTTCCCTTATAGTCTTGTCATAATAAGGAACCCTAACAGTATTATGGGTGATTATTTAGGCTTCTACAATAATAGCATTCGGAGTCATGGACTGCTGGTTCAGGCCTTGTGCAGATCCAGGGTTTCGTCTATCACAGGCACCGAAGCTCACAGGAGGTGAGGGTTGCAGGGCCAGCATAATCCCTGAACTTCAACCCTGGGCCCTCAATCAACACCCTAAACCCTAAATTTCAAACCCTCAACCCCAGGCCCTCTGCAAGCCTTGTAAGCCTCTACAACCGAGGAACGGAGGGACATTGGAATTGGACTCGACATACAGCCAGAGTTTCTAGAAATCGGACCTGCAGCTCCTTCCCACAATGGTGCTTGAGGGTGCAGTTTGGTGCTGATAGGTCGTACTTGTTGAGTTCTCTGGTGCCCAAAACAGCCGAGGGGAATTTAAACGTGACTCCTTGGCCAGAAGTCATGATCGACTCATCGACCTACCATAGTTGTCGGTTCTGTTGTTGCGTGGTTTTTCTTGGGCATTATGTATGGAAGCGCAGTTAGCAAGAAACGCGTGCCAGCAAAATAAAAGCTCACTGTTGTTGAATTTTCACGAATGGGGAATCGAAGACTATAAGCTCCCCTTCACTCCTAATTTGAGCTAGATGTCTCAGGAGCGCAGATTTTTTCGATCCTTAATGTATTGGGGCAATGAAGGCCCACGTACATCGGTTGCCTCCAAACGGCATTGCGACGAAGCTTTGCATCGCCGATGGAACTCTTATCCGGTTCACTCTGCCTTCAAAGGCATGACTTTAGGGCTTCGGGATAACTCCTCCAGTAACTATAGTTGTCATTGCTTCGTTCTATCCCACGAAAAATGACAGTTGGCGGCTTGGGGTGTGTCCTCAGAGTACACAAAACCTCGAAGAACGGAGTGGGGTCGCTCCAAAGCGAAATGGTGTGAGCCTCTTGCCTCCGGCTCGAGGAGGACCCAACCGGTATCCTCGAACAACGGGCGGCTGAAAGCAATGTTCTACGACACCACAGTGCATATAAACTTGCGCAAGCCCGTGTTCGGGCTTGCGAAGGCAAAATTGCCCTCATTGCTGAAATGTCGCCAAGTTCTACAGGCTACTGATAATCGAGGCCGCTATATCAACTAAAGTCGGTCTCTGGCTAGTTTGGAAAGCACATCGAGGCCATCTGTTATGCATGAAGGTCCTTTGACGTACCTCTGGCACCAGCAACTCTTGACACTCTAACTTAGGCAGAATCCCACTAATGTAGGTGATTTTATACTGTTGGAATAGTGTCTTGGAGGGTCTCTTACTGTAGATACCTCGAGATACGAACAAACTGTCACATACTACTCACTATTGCTAAGCGATTAACCAGGCCCTTGCACACTGAAAGCCTTTTCGAAACTGCCAGACCCTAAACCCTAAACCCCAAATTCTAAACCCAAAACCCTAAACTCTAAACCCTAAACTCTAAACCCTAAACTGTAAACCCCAAGGCCCAATTCAGCATCTGCTAGAAGAACTGGCGGGCAAAACTGTCAGCCATCACTCGCTGCCCGAGCCTTGGATGAAACTCAGTTGATCGGGATTGAGGATACGGTTTCGGGGTTACGGTTTAGGGTATGAAATTTAGGATCATACCTATAGTCTCCATTGTAGTTCCCTTTTTGGTCAGCCCAATTTTAGATTAGAGGGCCCGAACCATAAATTTGATTAACCCCCAAAAAAGAAATTACAATGGAGACTATAGGTACTGTTGGTGATATAAATCCTGCATGACCCATGATAAGGAAGATAACATTATTCCCATTGTTTAGGGTCCTGAAGGTAATGCAGGATTCATATCATCAACCGTAGGATCTCGGGCTTGCTCGAGGCTTGGCTCTTGGAGTGTGAAACTCAGAGTGTAGGGCTCCGGGTTCGGGTGGGTTTCTGGCTTTAGTCCCTAAACCCTAAACCCAGAAATTTAGGGTTCTGGCTTCAACCTTGACACCCAAAGGCCTCAAACTGCTAAACGCCAAGGGCGCCAACCCTAGACCGTAAATCCTACCATGCCTCGGCGCAGCCCGAACCTCTAAACAACGAGCTTCCGAAAGAGTCTCCGTGTAGAAACTTCAGCAACCACAGCTTCCGCTTGTTGCCAAGGAGTTCGGTACATCGGGCCTGCGGACAACGTGTACTTAGGAACATCCTTGCTTGCTACAGTACTTTCCGCAGCTCCAATGTAGGGGCCTTGAAAATTAGTGTTGGGTTTGCGGCATATTACTCTGGTATTATACAGGGAGTCTGACTTGTGAAGGACTTTTTGTCAAGGAAGGAGCTTTGTCAATTGGTCAGTATTCAGATTCATGTTTTGAGTGTTACAGCTGAAAGGGGCCTGTAGTGTCCAGGGGTTTCCGATAATTAGGGGTAATTACCTTGTTTTGGGGCCCTTATAATAAGGATCCTATTATTTAAGGTGCTATACTAGGGTTCAGCTATGTTCAGTTTTCAGCTCATGAATTTAGGATCCAAGGCCTGGGTTCAGAGCGCGCGGAGACTTGAACGATGTGGAGTTGACCCTTTGACTAACAGCATCTTAGCATCTTCGCTTTGAGCCTAGGAGACAAGAAGTGTATGCGGTTATTATTAAGCTGTAATTTCGTAATGACTCCTCTAAGGCACACGTACCAAACAAGAATGGAGGTATGGTACTCCAGCGCCCCGGTGTTATGCTGACAGGAGGCAGGTTCGGATGGTATTCGTCGAAGAAGCCAGGCTTCTGAGGGCAGCGGGGCGTGTCTGACTACAGGGGGAGACTTTGACGCAGAGCCCTGCGTGGAGAGCTGATACAGTTATCGGTTTGGGAAAAAGCCGCTGTGTCCGTCTATACCCATCAGTCTACCTGTGTGTCTATCTATCCATCTATCTATGTGTATATGTTTATTCATACATACACACCTTCTTATTCAAGAAGCGCACATAAGCTACACATCCTTACACTTGTCGTCTGTTGGATTTTAAGCTCTTTTCCTTCAGGCAGCAGATGCCAAGACTAAGAAGTGTCACGACATGGTAACGAGCTTCTACGACACTGTTCGCCGTCCTTTGCCCTCAGCAGCTTCGGTTCAAACTGCCAAGGGGGCACAGGATGCTAGATGCTGCGAACTCCGTGAGCTTGTAAAACTCACCCATGCATGAAGCACGACAGAACATCAGATCAGGGCAACCTGCAGTCCTGAAACCCGCAATCTTAACCCAAACACGCTGACAAAATTGCCAACCAAACACCCTGACAAGGAGTGACGAAGACTGCTCCCATACGCCTTGGGCTCTTGCAAGACATGCTTCACCAAATCCTGCGGGCCAGCACGGGGAGTTGTTGAGCGATGAAAGCGCGGGCTTAGTGCAGGCAGTAACAGGGACGTTAAACTATCATGACCTGCTTCTTTGTGAGCTCTGGTTACAAGCCCTGATATAGAATTTATACGGACCCTACCATAAA